TATTGGTTAACAGAGGTTATGCGTAGGGATGGGTAGTGGGAGGTTGAAATTCGATTTTTTCCGAATCTCGAACATTGCCCAACCATTCGATTATTCGATTCGAAATTTGGTGGTGCTAATTCGATTTAGTTCGCATTTTTTCGAATTTCCATACAAAAAAAATCTGAAAATTTAAATGCTTGTAAGAATGACAACTCAAATTGAAAAATAGATTCAGATAAACTTATATTAATGTGATTAACTATCCATATCGCTCTTTTTTGCTTCACAACCAAAAATAAATACAAATGATTTTTTTTCTTCAAAAAAATATCTAAAAGAATCCAAAAATTTGGCAAATGTAGCATATTGAAACTAATCTTTTGGGGCGTATAAGATGACTTCATTTATTTTTCTTGCTTTACAAAAACCAAAGAAATTTTTTCATACTTCACGTTACATACATATGCAATCATATGTATGTTTATTAAAAAGTCTTACATTTAATGACAACGTATGATTTTGCTTTTTAAAGCGAGATCTTTAAGTAAACAATCAACAAAATAGATAATAGGGCAGCAAGAGTTCTTTCCAGCCACATTTTTGGTTTGTCCATAGCTAAACGGCCGGTATTTGTGACTTATGCCAAAAATTTCACTTCACATTTGACATCAGTGTTGGAAAACGGAATGTCAATCACCTGACACCAACATTTGACGACAGCCTTTGACATGCACTACATCTACAATTGGTCAGTTTTTATGATGTATTTGACACCAAGTGAACAGCTGTTAGTTTTTGATGTCAGTAATTTTGACATAATGAAAACCAAGCATTAGATAAAGATTTAAGGTCATAAATCATCTGAAATATTATTTATTTTTATGAATTTCTTAGTATAGCTGGGATGTGTAACTATAAATACATTTGTGACACACACTGTGAGTTAATACTTAAAAATTTAAGTCGATGTATTTTATAGAATTGCAGCCCTAATGCAAATATGGTGCCACACACAGTGTTGCCAAATTTTGTCAGAAAGAAAAAGTTACAGAGTTGCTTTTTTGCAAATTAAGACAAAATTCGATTTTTTCTAGAAAAAATCGATTTCGTCCGAATTTTAGCACCACAAAGTTCGATTTTAAAAATTCGCCATTTTAGACCTAAAGTTCGGCTAAAATTCGAATTTCGAAGCTTCGATTATCGAATTTACCCATTCCTAGTTATGCGTAGCTGAGCTTTACACCACTCGCTAAATAAATCACAAAAACGCAGACTGGTAAACTCACTACAAATCATTTTTGTTTAACAAAGGAAACTGCCTTTTACCTAGCTAAGCTTTGCATCAGAAGTCATGTTTGTATTACTTAAATATAAATAAAATAATCTAAAAAATATATTTTTTTAAAAACAAGCTTTTATTACAATACAAAGGAATA